TCTCCTTTTGAAAATTCAATGTATTATTGTGATTGTTGTATCTTTCTTTCTTTTTAAAAATTTATTTGTTTATTTTTTTAGCTCCCACTTATGTGTGAGGACATGCAGTATTTCTCTTTCTTTGCTTGGCTTATTTTATTTAACATATTTTTTTCTAAGTTCATCCATGTTGCTGCAAATGGCAGTATTTCATTCTTTCTTATGGCAGTGAAGTATTCCATTGTGTAAATATACCACATTTGCCTTATACAGTGGTCCAACAGTGGACATTTAGGTTGGTTCCAACTCTTGGCTATTGTAAATAGAGCTATCATGAACTTGAGCGTGCAGGTATCCCTTTGACATGACATGATGATTTCCGTTCCTATGGGTATACACCCAGCAGTGGAATTGCTGAATCATATAGGAGTTCTAGCTGGAGTTGTTTGAGGAAACTCTATGCTGTTTTCCATATGGCTGCACCAATTTACAGTCCCACCAACACTGTAGGAGGGTTCCCCTTTCTCGGCATCCTCACCAGCATTTGTTATTGTCTTCTTGATTATAGCCAGTCTGACTAGGGTGAGATGATGTCTCAATGTGGTTTTGATTTGCATTTCCCTGAGGCTAAGTGATGTTGAGCATTTTTTCATGTGTCTGTTGGCCATTTATTTGTATATCTTCCTTGGAAAAATGCCTATTCACTTCCTTTGCCCATTTTTTAATTGAGTTATTTGTATTTTAGCTTTACTAAACAACTATTTGTATTTTAAGTTGTTTGAGTTCCTTGTATATTCTGGATATTAATCCTTTGTCTGATGCATAGTTCGAAAACATTTTCTCCCACTCTGTTGGTTGTCTTTTTGTTCTGTTGTTTCTTTTGCTGTGCAGAAACTTTTAAGTTTGATAAAATCCCATTTGTTTATTTTTCCTTTTGTTGCTGGTGCTTTGAGGGTCGTATTCATAAAGTCTTTGCCCAGTCCTACTTCCTGAAGTGTTTCCTCCATGTTTTCTTTTAGGAGTTTTATAGCTTCAGGTCTTATATTTANATTTTGAGTTGATTTTGGTATATGGTGAGAGGTACGGGTCTAGTTTCATTCTTCTACATACAGATGTACAGTTTTCCCAGCACCATTTATTGAAATGGCAGTCTTTTCCCCTTTGTCATGTCACCTTTGTTGAAGATCAGTTGCCTGTAAGTATGTGGGTTGATTTCTGGGGTTTCTATTCTGTTTTATTGGTCTGAGTGTCTGTTTTTATGCCAGTACCATGCTGTTTTGGTTACTGTGGCTTTGTAGTATCATTTGAAGTCAGGGAGTGTTATGCCTCTAGCTTTATTTTTTTTCCTCAGGATTGCTTTGGCTATTAGGGGTCTTTGTTATTCCACATTAATGTTAGGACTGTTTTTCTATTTCTGTGAAGAATGTCATTGGAATTTTGGTGGGGATTGCATTGAATCCGTAGATTACTTTGGGTAGTCTGGACCTTTTCACAATGTTAATTCTTCCAATCTAAGAGCATGGACCATCTTTCCATCTTTTTGTGTAGTTTCTTTCAGCAGTGACTTGTAGTTCTCATTGTAGAGATCTTTCATCTCCTTGGTTAAATTTATTCCAAGATATTTTATTTTTTAGTGACTGTTGTAAATGGGCTAGCTTTCTTGGTTTCTTTTTCTGCTAGTTCATTGTTGGAGTATAAAAAAGCTACTGATTTTTGCATGTTGATTTTGTATCCTGCAATTTCAGTGAATCATTTATAAACTCTAAGAATTTTTCTTTGTAGAGTCTTTAGGATTTTCTAGATATAGGATCATGTCATCTGCAAACAGGGACAGTTGTCATCTGCAAACAGGGACAGTTTGACTTCATCTTTTCCAATCTGAATGCACTTTATTTCTTCCTCTTGCCTAATTTCTCTGGCAAGTACTTCCAATACTATGTTAAATAGGAGTGACGAGGGTGGGCATCCTTGCCTTGTTCCCATTCTTAAGGGAACATCCCATTCAGGATGACATTGGCAGTGGGTTTTTTGTATATGGCTTTTATTTTGTTGAAATACATTCCTTCTATATCTAATTTGCTGAGAATCTTTATCATGAAGGGATGTTGAATTTTGTCAGACACTTTGTTTTGCATCTATTGAGATGATCATATGTTTCTTGTCTTTGATTTTGTTGATGTGGTGTCTCACATTATTGACTTCCATGTGTTGAACCATCCTTGCTTCCCTGAAATGAATCCCACTTGATTGTGGTGTATGATTTTTTTGATGTGATGCTGTAT